CTTACAGCCCTCCACCCCCACCACAGGCCCCCACCTGTCCATTGTCTGTGTCTATGGGCTGTTCATATATGCTTAAAAATTCTTTGGTTAATCACTTCCAGTCCTCCTTCCCACTTTCCCTCTGAGATCTATCAGTGTGTTCTGTGCTTCCAGGTCTGTGGTCCTACGTTGTTCGTCAATCTATTCTGTTCCTTAGATTCCACATATAAGAGAAATCATGTGATATTTGTCTTTCTCTGACTGGCTTATTTTGCTTAGCATAATATCTCCAGGTCCACCCATGATGCTCCAAAGGGAAAGAGATCCTCCTTTTTTACAGCTGCATAGTATTCCATGGTATAAATGTACCAGAGCTTTTTTATCCACACAATTACTGATGGGCACTTGGGCTGTTTCCAGATCTTGGCTATTGTAAATAGTGCTGCTATGAACATAGGGGTGTGTATATTCTTTCTGATTGGTGTTTTGGGATTCTTAGGATATATTCCTAGAAGTGGGATCACTAGGTCAAGTGGCAGTTCGAGTTTTAATTTTTTGAGGAAACTCCATACTGTTTTCCACAGTGGCTGCACCAGTCTGCACTCCCACCAGCAGTGTACTAGGGCTCCCTTTTCTCCACATCCTCACCAGCCCTTGTCATTTGTTGATTTGTGGATGGTAGCCATTCTGACAGGTGTGAAGTCATACTTCATTGTGGCTTTAACTTGCATCTCTCTGATGATTAGCAACATTGAGCATTTTTTCATATGTCTCTTGGCCATCTGAATGTCCTCTTTGGAGAAGTCCTTTGGCTATTTTTTAATTGGATTGTTTTTCTTTCTTTTGTTGAGTTGTATGAGTTCTTTGTATATTTTGGAAATTAACCCCTTATCAGATGTATTCTTGGCAAATATGTTCTCCCCAACTGTGGGGTTCCATTTCATTTTGTGGATGTTTTCTTTTGCTGTGATGAAGCTTTTTAGTTTGATGTAGTCACATTTGTTTATTTAGTTTCTGTTGCCCTAGGAGATGTATCAGTGAAAATTCCACTACTTGAGATGTGTGTGGCTTTAGTGCTTTCTTCCAGGATTTTTATGATCTTAAGACTTACATTTAAGTCTTTTATCTATTTTGACTTTATTCTTGTGTATGGAGTAAGTTGGTGATCTAGTTGCATTTTTTTCTTTTTGCATGTACCTGTCCAATTTTCCCTAAACCATTTATTGAAGAGATTGTCTTTACTCTATTGTATGCTCTTACCTCCTTTGTCAAATATTAATTGACCATAGTGGCATGGTCAATTTCTGGGTTCTCTGTTCTGTTCCATTGATCTATATGCCTGTTGTTGCACCAGTACCAGATTGTTTTTATTACAATGGCTTTGCAGTATAGTTTGATATTCAGTATAGTGATCCCTCTAACTCTGTTCTTCTTTCTCAAGACTGCTGCACCTATTCGAGGTCTTTTTTTGGTTCCACATAAATTTTTGGAATATTTGTTCCAGCTCTGTGAAATATGTTGTTGGTGTTTTAATAGGAATTGCATTGAATCTATAGATTGCTTTGGGTAGTATGGACATTTTAATGATATTAATTCTTCCAATCCATGGACATGGTACATTCTTCCACTTGTTTATGTCTTCTTCTATTTCTTTTTTCAGTGTCCTGTAGTTTTCTGAGTACAGGTCTTTTATATCCTTGGTAAAGTTTATACCTGTGTATCTTTTTTTTAGTTGCAATGGTAAATGGTATTTTTTTTTTAATTTCTCTTTCTGAGAGTTCATTTTTGGTGGATAAAAATGGCATCAATTTTCAAATGTTAATTTTGTATCCTGCTACCTTGCCAAATTTATTTATCAAATCTAGTAGACCCTTGGTGGAGTCTTTAGGGTTTTCTATGTACAATATCATGTAATCTGTGAATAACGAGCACCTGAAGCATCTTAACCAATTATCCTTACATTTGTATTTATATGTCCACACTTCCATGGCTACTACATTTTTGAAGATTTTTCTAGCTTGGCTTTGGACCACATTTCCTCTGTAGAAATTCCTTCTAGGCATTTCTTCTTTGTTAGGTGGAATTCAAAGATGGCTCTCAGGATTCTTACCCCCTTATGTAAAGCCCTGTATAATCTCCTCCCCTAGAGTGTAGGTTGTGCCTGTAAATATAAGAGGGTTTCATTCTTGTGTTAGGGTACTAATCAGTTGTTTTTCAGTTATCTAAAAAGTAGATTATCCTGGGTGGGACTATTGAATAGGGTGAGCCCTTTAAAAGGAGGTCTAGAAGTCAGAAACATTACAAGAGAAAGATTTTTTCTCCTCATGTCTTGGAAGAAAGCATACAGCCATGTTGTAAGAGAAGGGTGCCATGCATCAAGGGTCTGAGGGTGACCTCTGGTTGCTAAGAGTGGTTCTCTGCCAACAGTCAGCAAGAAAATGGGACCCCAATCATACAACAACAAGGAATGAATTCTTCTAACAACCAGTGATCTTGGAAGAGTATACCTAGCCTCAAATGAGGTCACAGTTCTGACTTGATTGCAGCCCTGTGAGACCCTAAACAGAGGACCCAGCTAACTTGTTCCTTAACTCCTGACCCATGGAAACTATGGAAAAATAAGAGGGTGCTATTTTAAGTTTGTGATAATTTGTTACACAACAGTAGAAAATTAATATACATCTGTTCATCCTTTTTCTCTTCTTATTGATGATAATTTTTTGATGGAAACCAAAAAGTCTGATTAAAGTTTTCCTTGTATTTTGGTTTTAAACTCAATACTTTATTGAAAATATTTTCTCCAAGGTCACCACTGGCTTCCTAATTACCAAATCAAATTGCCATTTTTAAACTTGATACTCTTTGGTCTTTGGGAAATTTTTGAAATCAGGGACCACATTCTTTCTTAAAACTGCTCTTTTGACTTGTACAATACTATAATTTTTTGTTTGTTTTCTTCTTGTTTCTGGTATTCTTTTGCTGTCTCTTACCCTTTATTATCTTCATTTTACAGATAAGAAAACTGAGTATCAGCAAGGATAAGTAACGCTTAAGTTCACACTGCTAGTAAGTGGAGAAACCAAGAATCAAACTCAGATTTATCCTGACTTAAAGACTATTGTATTTTTGCTGCCATGACCGCATTGACCTTCTCTCAATAGAAAACTAAGCTGAGGTTTTCTCCTTTCTTGAAGGAGTGGTTTAGTATAACTAAAATGTCTTCATTTGTAAAACATAAATCTTGCTGTAAATAAGAGATGCTATAGAATAGAACTAAAATGAATCTCAAAGTGAAATACGGGGATGATGGGTCCATCGGGGAAAGCAGAGTTGTTTTGCTTCATCTCTCACCAAGTCTGCCCATTCCCATAAAAGGTAATTCTTAAATTCTTCTCTATAATCATTCAGTGAGTGTTGCCTGCTTGGCAATACCTGTCTACATTGATCTCTCAGATTGAAAATTTAAGTAGTTTTCAAGAATTATGAGCAAGGAAAGGGCAGAGGCAATTACAAATCACTAGATATACAGTCAATAAACAGTATAAGAAACAAGCTCTTTTTCTCTTTGCAACCTATTACAGAAGCAATTTGACCTAACATACAATATGTGCTCTGCAACTTATGTGGGTCTCATTCCTATTTTAAAAACTTAAACTAAAGATTTTCTATTTGGGCATTTTTTTCAAATCCTAAACTTTATAACAAAAAAAGTTTATAATCTCAGCCAGAGGACCTGAATAGACATTTCTCCAAACAGGACTTGCAGATAGCCAATAGACATATAAAAAATGGTTAAAGTCACTAATCACAAGAGAAACGCAAATTAAAACCACAATGTGGTATCACCTTATTCTTGCCAGAGTGGCTCTGATCAATAAATCCACAAACACCAAGTGATGGCAAGGATGTGGACAAAAGGGAACTCTCGTACACTGTTGGTGGAATGTAGATTGGTGTAGCCACTGTGGAAAACAGTATGAAGTTTCCTTAAAAATATTAAAAATGGAACTACCTTATGACCTAGCAATTCCACTTCTGGGACTATACCTGAAGAAACCCAAAACACTAATGCTAAAGAATATGTGCACCCCTATATTTATTTCACTACAATAGCCAAGCTATGGAAGCAACCCAAGTGCCCATCAATAGATGAGTGGATAAAAAAGCTGAGGTATATACATACAATGGAATATTACTTGGTCATAAAAAAGAATGAAATTTTACCATTTGCAACAGCATGGATGGACCTGGAGGGTATTATGCTAAGTGTAACAAGTCAGTCAGAGAAAGACAAATACCATGTGATTTTACTTATATGTGGAATCTAAAGAACAAAATGAACAAACAAAATAAAAACAGGCTCATAGATACAGGTAGCAGACTGGTGATTGCCAGAGGGGAGGGTGCTTGGGGGACTGGATGAAAGAGGTGAAGAGATTAAGAAGTACAAATGGGTAGTTACAACATAGTCCTGGGGATGTAAAGTACAGCATAGGGAACACAGTCAATAATATTGTAATGACTGTGTATGGTGTCAGGTAGGTTCTGGAAATACCAGGGAAACACTTTGTAAAATATATGATTGTCTAACAACTTTTCTGTACATCTGAAACTAATACAAAATAACATTGAGTGTAAACTGTAGTTGAAAATAAAATTTAAAAAAAGTTTATAATCTCATTGTGAAATTTTAAACACCTCTAGCCCTCTTGCTTTCCCACTATGTTAACTGAAGAGATTTTCTACCGCCCCCTCAATACTATATCTACCTTTCAAAAGGCACACTTTGTAAAACCAACAAACTGACATTAAAATAAACCATGTGGGGGGTTTTCTAATTTTAAATTTTTCCATTGTCTTCCTATATTTTAGGAAACAAAGTAGGTTCAGTGTAAATTTTCACTTATCTCCTCCAATGTGAACTACTTTGGTTCCTTGCACTTTTAATAACCAACATAATGAGTCCTTTTTCCCAAGTAAAAATATTTGTAATTTGTTTTACTCCAACAAAGTGCAATTAATAATGTTAAATCCCCAGATTTAGACTAATACAGCTGCTCTTATTTGTCCATTTTGGGAAATTTTCTCACAGTCTTCTGGAAACCAGAGTTAAGGTTATCTCCTAAGATCATTTTAGAGTTCAAATGTTAGAAAGCAAACTCCCATCGCTCGCCCTGCTGATTAAACTTGACCCTGGCATTTCCCTTGATTAGAGTTGTTGGATATATCAAGTATACTTGACTACCTCTCAAGATCTTACTTTTAAGGAAACAAAAATGTTTATGATTTGTTTAGATTGGTTAAATAACAAGTTCAAAATAGATGTTTCATTACTCAAAAGATGGTTCAAGTCAGGCAAGGCTGGAATTGGGCCCAGGGAGGGGAATGTATTGGATAGAAACCATGCACACCTTTAAATGATGACAGGATAAAATAAAAAGAAGTTAAACTTTGGTACTGTAAGACATGGTCTCAGGATAAAATCATTGCTCTAAAAAGCAAGGATATTGGCCTACTTTGGTGAGTCACTATACTACATTCAAGGGATATGCCTGTCAAAACAATCAGAATTCTAAACTAGCATATCAGGGTAACCTTGTTCCTGAACCAAGCTTTCCTAATCTATTCTAATAACTAAGCTGTCACTTTCATTCTATAGCTATCTTAGAGATAACTGCACATCCAAAAAGATGCCACAAACTGTTTCAAAGTTCTCTTTCTGAGAGCCCTAAGCCCTCTTTAGTACTTACTAGTGGGTTTCTTCTTTCTCCAGGTAGTAAACCTTATTTGGCCTCTTCCATTAACACTTTTCTCTATGAGACAGAAGGTTGGCTAAGAGGCTAGGGCTAGTTTGTGGAGGAGCTCGCCTAAAGTGTAGGGTTGGGACTTGATTATAGGCATTAGTTAGCTCTTGAGCAACAAAAAGGGTAAAAACCAAGGGTTTTTATATATAACCAAATAAAAGATCTGAGTAACTCCTGAATTAAATAATTGAAATCAAATCTTGCTGAAACTGTTCTCAGAGACAAGAGTCCTCAAGGAAACTGAAAAGGGAAAGGAGGAAAGGAGTGAAAGTATTAAGTGCTTGCTAGGTACAAAGCTCAAAATTACTAAAGAAAGCACAGAAGACACCTCAGAATACCAAACTTGAAGAAATGCTACTGTTACCCAGACAATGCAACATTTGCTCACTTGGGCATGTAGTGAGTGAGCCAAATTGTAATTGAACAGCTACCATGGAAATGGTTAACTGGTATATTAGCCTGGTAATACTAAACTTTTCATAGATAGATCCTCTTTCTCTTTTCACACTAGGGAGAAATACAAGGTTTGTCTAAACACAAAATTGTGAAAAAGTCAAAGTTAATTTTCTCCATATGTAAGATTAGTGGAATCACATAATTTTAGGATTAGAAAGGATATTTTCATTCAATGTTTGATTAGTATATCTTTATTGATTACAGAGACCTAGGACAAGCTAAACCAAAAACAGTTACTGTCTGAGTAACAAAATATAAAAGCCAATTCTATTTCCCACCTGCAACCCATACTTCACCCAGACTGCTAGTAATTGGTTATCTATATCAATTCAGAGAGGGAAAAGAAATTGAAGAAGACCTGAAAAATGATTATCGGAGGACAGGGAAGACTCAAACAGCAATATTGTAGCTGTAGATTCAGTTTCCTAGTTTTAGAACTTATCTGTTTTATATTTTTTCATTTCCTTTATTTTCCTCTTGATTTCCTTTTTTTCAGTAGAGTTCCTTTGGAAAATTCCAGCCTGTTTATATTAGCAAAGAATAAACTGGAAAAAGATGTTTATTTTGTTGGCACTTAAACCACAGATCATTGAAAAGTGCCAAGCCTCTGGGGTCCTTGCAAACAAGGATGAAAGTTGCCTTAGGGCAACACAAATTTAGAAGAAAAGTGTTCAGATTGCTAATGTTTCAAGAAAGCCCTTCTTTGCTCATTTCTTGAAGACTTGTTATACTTTGTTAGATTTTATTATATAGTTTAATTGAAAAGATGAGACAGACACTCATGAAAGGTTAACTATACAAGCTATGAAACAGTTGATCTCCAAAGGTATATAATATATGCCAAATTAATGATATAAGCAATAACTGCTATTATGAGTTTTTAGGGAGAAGTATCCAAGGTCTTCTAAGCCATCCTTCCTTCAGAGAAAACTGTCCTTCAGACATCCCAGACAGATATACTTGATATATTTTATGTTCTAACTCTTCTTTCTAAAAAACTAGATCCTTGGATATGAACTCCTAAATTATTTCCCCTTTGAACTTTTTAACAAACTGTTTAGGGAAAATACCATGGTTTCATAGCAAAAGAAGTATTTATAATACTGTGTTCATCTTTAGATACAGAAGTTACGTGCACACAGAAGCAAACATCAATGATCAGCCCTAGTCTGTATTCCAAGTTTTTCCCCTGGGGATATAAAAATGAATGGAGAGAAAAGAATGAAGCATGGAATCCAATAACTAGTCCTAAATCTGTCAGTAGAACGTTGATGTCCCATCATACATCCTGTATCTGTGTTTAAGGCTGCTAAGCTTCCATGACACTTTTGGACTGCTTCTAATGTCATTAACTTTCTTTTCAATATTATGACTTCAGTTTAGGCTTCACTTGATATTACATCATAAGAGGCACTGATCACAAACCAGGAATATTTGTGAAGAGTACTGCAGTGCTACAAAGAGGTATGGCTCCATTTTCTAAATGATTCTTGTTTCTTCAACTTGCAAAGTATCTTAACAAAGTAACTTTATCATCTGCATTAAAATTAATTTCATTTATGTTTATCACTTGTTTATATTACTCAATTAATAACCATTTTTTGTGCTAAGTCTTACCATAATGTATTGTAACCTCTCTACACTTCTGAGCCTTCACTCCTCTCCCCTACCAGACTGTGAGCTCTTTGAAGGCAGAGATGGGATATTAGACATCTCAGTATCCACATAGTATGGGTCTCATTATTGGGGGATCTCAATAATTCTATAAATATGAATTAAATTCTGTTTAAGGCAAGCAAAGCCTTCATCTGTAACATGAGTGGCTTGGACTAAATGATTCCTACGCCTTTAGGATTTATTTGAGAGTTTTAAAGTCTTTTTTAATGGCCTACTTTAAGTCAGTTGACTTGATTAGTTAAAAATAAACAATTGAGCCTAAATATAGAAATTACTAGGAAAACTTATTTTTGTCTGTAAGGACTGGGAAGTTTATTAATGGAAATAAAGATCATCTGTTTCTTTGTTTGTTTTTATTAATTTCTTTATCAGGTTTTTTGGCATATTTTATTCAAAGATCTGGGAATTTTGAATGTATTTATAATATTTAACAGACAAATAAACAAATAATTACTCTGTATCAAGATATGGGTTTTTTTAATCTTATAGTTAGCTATATGATTTAGTGCCTTCCTTAATACTTTAGGAAGCAACTTTACTTAACAGAGCGAATTTGGACTTTGAGACTGGAAAAGTTTTTAATTATATTAGAATGAAAAGATAACTCTAAGTGATTTTGAATGAAAAATAATCATTTCAAATAATAAATTTGTTCCAACATTCATTTACTCATTCACTCAACTAACATTTATTGAGCATTTATGGGCAAGGTACACATGTGTTAGCCCTGTGTGTGATGCCTTTTTATATATCATCCAGAAAGTCTATGAGGGAAGATAACACATGCATACAAATCATTGATCTGCAAGGTAGATTAAAAATTCCCTAGGAGGGAAAAATTAGAAATTACTTTGGATGGAGGCTAAGAAAAGGTTTGGTCAAGAAGGTATAATTTGAGCTGAAGGATGGATAGTTTTTGCCCATAGATGGAGGAAAGGGCATTTCAAGAAGAAGAAATTCATGAATAAAGATAGGCAGGTAGAAAACATGTAAAAAAAAAAAAAAAAA